CAGTCAGACATTTAGTTTAAATACCTCTGTGCCTAATAGATTTTAAACAATGTTTTGTTTCCTTCGATTAACAAAGCCTTTTAGTGGAGCAACCTCAGAGATGAGGTTCGGGTCAGTGGATGGGTCAACAAAACATTTTTTTGATAACAGATGGAAGTTGACTCTGTGTTTTACCTTAGGGACTTTTTTAAAAGTATCATTTACTTTCTGCTGGGTAGGCAAGCATTATTTGCCACTCTGTTAGTCATTTTAAAGGAGGCAGATGTAGAACATCATAAATTTCCTTTTGTACTCTGTGCCGAGTTGTGCCCTGAAACATAGTTCATAGTTCATCTGCAAAATATCCATTTGAGAGCTATTTGTTGTTACGGTCAAATCGACTCATTTTATTTTGAGAGATAAACAAAAATATTGGGATCAAAATGACCCCAGTTGGTGTCACCATACAAACATAACAAAAATACTGTTTTCTGGAAATTATATAAAATGACATTTATTGAATCAGAGAATAATTTAAAAAATCCTTTAAAGACTAATGTGGATTGCACTAAAATGATAACAATCAGGCTATTTTTCAGATGCTTTAAGAAGAAATCTGTTAACATTTTATTGTGATGGTTGTTTCTTACAGTAGTTTGGTAGCACTTATGTTTTGCTGCTGGGATGAGGATTGATGGGATAGACACTTATTCTGGTCTGCAAACTGCAGGTGAACCAAAGAGGCAATTGCATATAAAGGAAAAGGAAAGAGAATAAACAGGCTTGCAATCTATAAATCCTGAGACACACTCGCACTGATATCATCTTTGTCAAAATAGCAGGAAGCAAAAGGAGACTAAAGATCAGAGAAGCAAGAATGTGCTTTGAAGGTCACTGGTTACAGTCTGCACACTGGACAGAAAAAAAATCTCATTTGGGGAGCTAAATGAGTAAAAGCCTCTCAGTGACTATTGTGGTGCTCTTGATCTTCTTTGTTGCACTGCCCAAACTGCTTCAGCAGAGCTTCTCAGCAGCCACGGCTGAAAAAAATGTTGGTTTTACTGGGCAGCTAGCACATATATGTTTGCAACTGTACAAGTTGAGAGACAGAGTTTTGCTGAGGAAAAAAGAAAATATGCCCAGTCAGCCTGCCGTAGCTTAAAGTTAAATACATCTGCTGTATGTGACAACAGAGAGCATCAACAGAGACTGAGAAACAGCTTGAAGTTTATTTATCTTGGACACTATAAAGATGTCATGCAAACCTGTCTTCACAAATAAATCACCTAGTTTGTATTTGAAATTCAGATGTCAGGTTTAGCTGTATGTTTTTTTTCTCCCAGCAACTTGTTGCTCTAAGTAAACCATCTGCACCACAAGAAAACATGATAGACAATCCTAACTTAATCTTGTTTCCAAGCAAAGTAAAAATATCCCGTTTCCCATTAGCAGTTCAGTGACAGCAGAAGAAGGAGAATTGAAGGCATCATTTGATGCCCGACTATTTTTCCTCACATTGTAGCTTTACTGCACTAATTCTCAACCTGGGGAAAGCGTAACCCAGAGGGCACATTAAAAAGATTAGCTCGACTAATTTAAAAAAAAGGGAAATTACAAATTAATTTAAGAATTTAATGGGCCTGAACAGGTTTAAGCAGAAAACAGCTAATTACAAGTGATGTGTAAGCAGTTCTCATAGACTGCAGACTTGACATAAATAGCAAACATTAAAAAAATATCTGTAAAATAGATTATTAGAGTTTTAAAAGTAATGGAAAAATTATTTTTTTAAAGTAACCAAGATACCAAGTCTCTGGACTGTTTCACTGGTTTCC